GTACACAGGAGACCGAGGTGTTTCAGATACTGAGTGTATTAGCACCCTCTCCTGAGCTGGGTCAAGGATGGTTATGTGCAAACGAAGCTGAGGCAGCTTCACAGCTGCTGCCTCCTCAAAGTAGAGCTTCAGTTGCTGTTGCCACCCCTCTTTTGCTGGATACAGCTCGGCACGTTCAAGGTCACTCTTTCCCGTTCTTGCAGTGCAGAATGTGGTTGTGAGCACTCGCATCTGATTCCTTGGGATTGAATTCTTACTGTAGTGCTGAGACCTGTCCGGGGGTGCCATATGTCTAATCTTAAAATAGATCCACCAGATGTTTAGTATCTGAGTGCAGTGTGACTATTTAGTGAAGATTATATTTCTTTGGGTTTTAAACAGCGACGCAATTGTGCTGTATTTTTAATTCTGTGGTCATTGCAATGAGTGCAGCCAGTGCTGCAGTGGTGGAAGGCAGGTTTTGAATCCATGTGATGTATCACTACCACGTGCTTGGTGCCTTGCTGCTGGCCTGATCTTGTGAGGTGTTCATCACAGTCCAAAAATAAAACTTGCTCACAATGTGATGTATGGAATAGTCTTACAGGGGAAGATAAGGGAGAGCTTTATTGCTTGTATCACTTCACATTGGGACTACATGAAAACTGTAAAATATTATGCCATAGCAGTAGCCTTTCAAATTGCCTCTGGGTTTTGCAAGCAGTGATTACAAAACTTCATAGTCCATTATATAGCCTTTTTTTTCTTCATTCCACTAGCTTAGTTCCATAGAACTTCTTTCTTTTGGTGAATGTCAAGTAATCCTGAAGGGTAAAGGGATTGTTTTGGTAAAACATTTGCTGACATTTCTATCTGATTCTGACGGTCTATAAAAAGGTTGTATTAATAAACAAATTATTATTATAAACAAATGAAATTGCATCACTTGACTACACAGACCTAGCATTTCACTGCAACCACTTTCAGCTACAGCTATGCCACTTCAGCCTTTATCTCCTGAGGCTGCAGTGCTCCCACTATACAGCAATTGGTCACACCTCATTATTGAAGTTATTTGCAATAGTGTACAGAGGACCAAGTAACAGATGTTTTGAAATGGCTAATCAATTTTTATAGATTTAATTCAGTTGATGCCTGCACATCTTTCCAACGTGGTTTTTTTTACCAAAGCTAAGGAAAGGATCTTAATTACAAATTCAGTCAAGCCTCTGTGAGGCTCAGGCTTCAACATTAGAGCACAAATATTGCTTGCATGCAGTTATAATATAATATTCTAGTGTGGCCACTTGCACTGGAGTTTTGTGTCTCTGAACTTCACTCTTAGAAAGTTACATTTGGACTAAGATGTATGACACTTGTTGTTTGGAGTGACACACACAAATCCCCATAGACCAGAATGAAAATTCAGCCCTAATCATCAAAGGGAAGTGAGGACTAAATGAATGTGTCATGCATATCCAATTTCTCCACTGATGATCCAGAGAAAATAAATCACAGTGGATGTCCTTCCATTTCTTCTTTGTTTCAAAAGCTAGAAGGAGTTCTCTATTAAAGTCACCCTGGGTTTCCTCAGGGAATACTAAAACAAATTAATATTGGCTGACTAAATGTTTTGACCCATATTGAAACCATTGAAAAATGATAGACCAATTTTATCATGGCAGCATGCCAGCTTATTTTTTGTGTACTACTGGAATCAGAGGACAAAACTGGAGGAGCATATCTTAACTAAACTAATAACCAATTTCATTCATTTTTCATAAATCCTTTTTCTGAGATTGTACTCTTTGAGAGAGATTTCTTTTTCATCAGTCTTTTAGTGATATCTGGTGTCTATCTGTGCTGGGATCTCCTGTCATCTTCCCAATTATGCATCAGAAAAAGACAGCAAAAGTGATACACAGAAAAGAGATAAGAATGGGGAAAGGCATTGCAGGAAGGTCTGGCTTGATTAAGTGGAAAATTTTAAATGGCACCCAGTGTAGATAGGTATCCAAGTCACATTGGTTTTCAATGAGAATAGGATAGCTCACGGTCCCTCATCTCTCTGAAATGTTCCCTTACACCCCAAGGCAATTTAATTTGGAAAGAATTGTTGGAAGAAATCTGATAGGTGTGTAAAATGAGCAGTATAAAAAGCATGCTGCCACAGCAAGGGCAGTGCCTTGAGACTCAGAACCTGCTCAGAAGTTAATTGAAATCAATTTGAAAGACTTCTGTTGATTTAAATAAGCTCTGGGTGAGCCCTTGGGAGAGCTGGTTTCAACACCCAGGTTTACCATGGATTTTTTGAATGGCTTAAAGCAAGTCACTCAGAATGGAGGCCAGAAATTTTAAAGGGATCGCTTGAAGTGGGGGGAGTGTGAGAGGTTCTCCATGCAGCCTCACACCAGGGCTCTTTCCAGAAATGTGTAATGAGCTGGTAATGTAAAACAAATAATTTCTACTTAACCTGTGGTGCTTACAGTTGTAGGATGCTGTCAAGACAGTTTCAAAACATTTTAAAAATTAGGATTGAGCATTTAGGATTATTAAAACAGCATCAGTAGTCAGTTTAGCTTGGATAAAATGCCAGGGGCCACCAATCCTCATGTGTCAGAGCATAAACTCGCCACCAGCTGGAATAACGAAGCAGACACCTCAAAGGAACAATATGCTACTGTTAAGCAATTTATTGTATCATTTACAATATGCTGTCATGCAGCCTTACCTTTATGTGGATGCTCCCTTGGAAAGGGGATCTGTTCTCACTGCCTGGGGGAATGGCAGAGCCATCTGTAACTTGTGTAACTGGGGCCACTTCCTTGGGGTGATGGAGGTTCCTGGTGAGTGCAGCACACTCAGACCCCTGGGCTGGATCTTTCTGGCTGCTTTAACCTCTCATAAGCTCTCACAGTGGTTCTGGTGCTGTCAAAAAGGCTCTGCAAGCTACAAGAGCGAGGCAGTGCCTTGTGGGATGGAGCCTTAGACATCTGTTCTGGTTTAAAAAATATGAACATATCCCTGTGTCTCTGGGATCACATTGGAATTGCCTGTTTGTGCTGAATCCCAGATCGAGGATGGTGTTCCTGCTTTAATAGTTCATCACTGTTCAGCCCAGGTCCCTTGGGGGTGAGTGCTGAATGCCTCTCAAGGCTCTGAGGAGCTGATACTCACTACCTACAGTTTGGTAGGTCGGTTGTTGCTACTGCTTTGCCAAGTGATACCTCAGAGACCCCAGTCTGGAATTCCAGCCAGTCCTTGGCTCCTTCCACCCTTCACCTCCTAAGTTCTGTCTATTTTTAGGAATTACTTCCTTCCCTCTGGATCCCAGTCCTACTTTCCTTCTTGAGTGCTCCAAACAGGAAAGTGCAAAATGTGCACCTTTCCACCTCCTCCCTCACCCTAATGCAGCACTCTTCTCCTTCAGAGGGCCCAGCAGGAAGGCTGCTGCTGTCAGCAGGAGATGGGGTCACGGTCCCTGTGCCTTGTATTGCCCTAACCTTCAGCAGCACTTGTAGTTTGGGAAGCTGGGATGAGTGTTAGCAGCTCTCAGATGAACACGCTCAGCCTGGGCTGGGCATGGATCACACCAAGTCACTGATGGCTCATCCAAGTCCTATGTGCAAAAAGCAGGAGATGGTTCAGATGTCTCAGAAAACCTTTTCTACAGGGTACTAGAAAGGCAGAAGAATTACCAGGAAAAAAAGATGGAATTTAAAGAAATGCAACACAGATAATGCATTTTTTCCCCAAACTTTTAGTCACAGAGGACAGAGAGAAGGAGCCACCAAATTCTGAGATTTTTTTGTATCTCCTCTTTAGAAATTATTTTGTTACTAGATGAAAGTTTACTGACATTTTCCTGGATTGTCTGAGGCTACCTAGTGAGGCTGGTGTCACCTTACTTTAACATATCTAACAAATATTGTCCTCCAGGCTGTGATAATGGCTGCAAGTGCTACAAAATGAAGTGAATGAAAGATCAGTTAGAAGTTAATTAGGGCTTTTGGCTTTTTCTGTCTACATCAAGAACAGAGCAGTAGAGATTTCTTGGAAAATACAGTTGAGGAGAGGATAAACATATGCTATCACACTGCACTGTTTGAGCACCATGATCTGTGCCAGTGAAGCAGAATTTCTAGGGAGCTCATTGCCTACCTCTGGCAGATCTCTAGCAATGATTCCACTGAACCTCAGGTTAAGATTAAGAGTGATTGTATCTCCCTACCTCATCCCCAACTCCCTGGGATACCAGCAAGGTGCAGCCAGTGTAAGATGAGCAGCTTTAGTTCCCACTGCCTACAAATCCTGTATCCCCTTTGCACTTTGGGCCTTCTAGGAAGAGTCCATGGCTGCCTTGTCTGCTGGGTGCTGTTTCCAAGGCAGACAGAGGTATCTCGTGAGCAAACTCCTGATGCCCATTTGTACTGAAGTGGGCTGCAAACTTCTTCCATACTGACAAACTATTTTCCCCCCCCCATTGTTTCTCCTACTCTATAATAGGCACGAAAAAAGCAAATCTTTAAGACAGCTGGTTGGATTGCCTGCCTTCTTCATGTCTCTTCTCCATTGTGAGAATTACTTGATGAAAAGTTTAGAAAGTTGTTTTTCACAATGTGAACTGAATAATTCATTATTCTCTAATCATGTCTTAGAAAAGGACAGATAGTTTAGCTGCAGATATTAAAAACGGTCATCTGGAAGAAAATATTGCATCCAAAGAACTGCTTCTGGTCATTGGCCAAGCTCTATGTTGTTTCAGCTTAATCCAAGAAACAATTTTTATGAGAATATTTTGAGAACTGATGGAAGTTGTTTTACACTTGCATGTTTATTCCAAAACAAAGAGAAAGAAAAATAATCACTGATCTTGTGAAAGCTTCACCAGAGTCAGATTTAAGGAGAGGTGACTTGCATATGAACCGAATTCCTGCTGCTTTGCCTTCTATATGTTTATGTTAGCTAAAGTAGCTTCAATACAAAAGGAAGATACCTACTGAGAGTCCCAGAAACTCAGAAGACTGGAAATTAGGGTAACTTTGGAGAGATGGGAACCTGTAGTTCAAATTCATCCTGTGAAAAGGCAGAGGAAGAGTTTGGACTTTCTTGACATTTCTCTTTACTAAGAACCTATTTTAATTTGCTTACAATTTTATCAAACTGGAACTACTCAGGTTTAATTTTCCCCTTTGGGTTCTGTCTTACCTTCCCTCTGCCTGACCTTATCACTGGGCTTTTGTTTATATCACAGAGGTCCTGAGAAATTTCCTCACTTCTCTCGAGCATGTGACCTCACTTGCAATGTCTGACGCTGCTACACTTTTAGTGTGTGTTCTGAGAGGGTAAGGACACAACTGGGACTGTGAGGAAAATCAAGATGAATGATATAATTCTTTCAGGAGTGTTACCTTTCTTACAGGCTGAGTTCTTCACGAGCTGACTGACAAAGCTTGCCCAAGGCTGCATATTTGGTGAGTGATCTGCTTACTGGAAAAAACTGTGTGAAATGTCAAGCTCTCTACGAAAAAACAAGTGGAAAGGGGAGAAAAAGGAAGAGGAAAGGTATGATTTTAAAAGTTGCTTTTTCTTTTTTATAGCTTTTTGTTCTGCAGGTGCCCTGCTAAAGAAAAAGAGAAAAAAAAATTGAAAAGTCTATGTTTTGTAACTACAACCTAATTAATTTCCTTGTGAATTACTAAAGCTAAGGGAGCTTCAGTGCCTAAAATTGTTTGTATGTTGTTAGGTTCAGGGAAACTACTGTGAGGTTTCCCAGTTTTATAACTGAGCATTTTTGGAAATCAGAATTAATTTCATAAGTGATTTTAAGTAAAGACTTTTCCTGGCCAAAGGCTGTTTTTGTTTTTCTTTGTATCCCAAGCAGGAAGTAATCCAAGGGCTTTGCTTTGGTCTGTTTGCAGACTGTATGGTAGTTCTTGCATTCCAGATTGTATGTGTGTAATATTTGGAAGATTAGTAATGATGTGTTATCACAGCCAAGGGCAGTCCAAGTCAAAACTTTGTGGACTGAGACTGATGGGTGGGTTTTATGCCACTTCTTTCACTCTGGGATTACTAGATACATTCTCATCACACATCTCTTTTTAACAGTGGAGGGAAAAGGGGCTGGGTCTATTGACTGTATTAAAGCATCTGACTCTGTTCAGACAAGATTCTTTAAGTGAGGAGTATCCTAATATGATCATGTTTATTTTATATTTTGTATGTGGAGATATGTCTTCTTTGAGGCTCTTGCTTAAACAGATACTGCCTATTAGCCAAAATATTTAATAATTTGGATTTAAACAAGCATCAGTTAAACTGAGATTTCCTTAGGCTCCAGTTCAGGGCTTCCTAGGTGGGGCTGAATTTAAGGCACAGTCCATGTGTGAAATCTTGTTTTCTGTTCAGGGTCTGTGCCTGCAATGGCTTCTCTGTCTGGGAGAGTGATGCATTTCTTAGAGACACTCTATGACTTCCCTTCTTACCAAGTACAAATACAAACACTCAAAATGTTTGTGTGATCTCCACTAAAATGGCCTTTTCTTCTTCTCTACTTTGTCTGTATCACTTTCAAGGCCCTCTCCAGATGCATGGTCATACCATTTATTATAAATCGTTGGCCATCTTCAAACCTCATGAATAAGGGAGGACTGTGAAGAATTGCTGGACCTGCAATAAACACAAGATATATCAACTTCTGCACTTCTTGCTTTTCAAGGGATTTGCATATTTCATTGCCATCCCAGAGTCTGCTCACAACCCTGGAAAATGGGACACCTAGGAATATCTCTTGCCCCGAAGGTGGATCATGTTTAACTCATTCTTGACGGATATTTTGTGTAACCTATTTTTAAAACTGATAGTGTCAGGTGTTTCAAAATTTGGCATATTCTCTCATTTACTTACAATTTTAATCTGAATTTCTCTTCTTTTAATCTTCTCTTGCTGTGATTTAAGTCTACTTTCTTCCATCTTCTTTACCCTGGGTATCATAACCAATTTATTCCATTCTTCTTTAAAGGTTATTTTCTGCTTTCAGTCTTCTCATTTCTAGACCAAACAATGCCCTTTCTGTCATCCTTTTTTTTTTTTGTAGGCTTTTTGTTAGTTCTATCCTTTCTTCTGAATTTCTCAGTCCAATTCCTACTTAGATACCACTGCCAAACTGGATGTAGTGTTCTTACTGAGGCTTTACCACCACCAAGAAAAATAAGGGAATAATTATTAGTCAGATGAAACTCCTATTTATACAGCTCAGGTTGATGGATGCCATCTTTGCATGATACTGTTGACTCATGTTCAGCTCTGATCCTCTGTAATACTCCCCAAGTCCTATTCAGAACAACTGTTATCTGTCTAGTCCTGTACTTTCCCAGACAATATTTTCTCTTCCTAAGTACAGGACTTAGCACCTGTCCTTGTTCAGCTGAATCCCGTGTTTTTCAGACAGTTTCTCTGATCTCTCCAAATCATTCTGAAAACTCTTGCTCTGCTCCAATTTGCCTACAGCACTTTACCCCACATGCGTGTTTCAGATGTGTGATCTGTTCTGTTACCCAGACTGTTGAATAACAAGATAGGAAAAGGACTTAACCCTTACAGATTCCCAAATTATACGCCTTTCTAGTTTGACAGCAAACTACTCATACCAGCTGTGAGTGCAGGTTTCCAGGAAGCTGTGCATCCATCTCCTTGTAGCCTCATTTACAGTGTGTGACTACTTTTCTTTTAAGATTATTTTCTGAGATGGTGAAGCTTTTGCTGTGTTACCTGGGACCATGAGTTTTTGCTCTTTAATTCATGTTTCTTTTTATCCCAATATTTGTCTTTGCTGTTTGTTTTCTATGCCCTTTCCCACAAGACGCTAATAAAGAAAGAGGTAAACTTACTATTAAAGTGGGGAGTAACAAAGGAGAAGCCCTCCAGAGTTCAAGTCAGAATGTTTTTTATTCTTATCATTTCTGTATCCTGGGTGGCAGAAGTTTCAATAAACTAATCTGTCATCACAGATAACAATTTTCCCCTCCACAATTGTCTATCAAGACTGCTTTGCCATTTCTCAGTCCCTATGATAATTATTTACAAAATCTAATTCTGCAATCCTACGGATATTCTTCAGAATCCCAATAGGAATATGACTTTAAAAGCCCTTCTAGTTTTTCTAAAGGGGAAGGACCAGGTTAACAGCTGTGGTAGTTCTGTGAGAAAAGCAAGAACTGTAGTTTATGAGCTGAAAGGCTAATTTTAGAAGATGCCCTCAACAGGTGAGCAGATCATTTCAGGTAACTTCAGAGTCCTTTGCTTCTCTGCATCAAATGTCAATGTGAATTTCCCTGTTGACTCTTACTCTGAATATATAGATTGCAGGAGCTGAGCTAGATTCCAGATCAGTAAGATCATGTTTTCCACTGGAAGCATTCCAGATGATGATAAACATCATCAAACAACTTCAGGCTCAGCATGAATGTTGATGAAAGCATACCCCAGACTTCAGGAACACATAGACTTACCTACCTTATCTAAATGCCGCGCGAGTTTGAAATCAGTGTAGTATCTGTGCAGCAAATGCTGCATGGATTTGGCACACTTTTGCAAGACATCTTTCCTTTCAGCTGTAGGTCTGGTCTTGCTGCACTGGGCTGCCTCTCTTTACAGGGCTGCATGTCAAAACATCAGTGGATTCCCCACTCTTATTGTTCACTCAGGGCCCACGGCTCCCTCAAGAAGGTTGTCTCAATGTAATGGCTCAGCGCCACTGTCTGGCATGCAGAACATTCCTGGTTTGTCTCCGGAGATCCGCACTGCAAGTGCTGACATGTAACACCACAGCTGTGCAATTTGTCAGCAGACAAGGGGAAGGAGCCCTGCAGGCAGGTCAGTCGGTCCGTCAGGAGGCACTGCAGCCCTGCCCTTCGCTCCGCAAGGGCTTTGCACCTTCCCGCAGGCAGAGCAGCTCGGCAGCTCACGCCAGCAGACAGGCCCTGCACAAGTGGCCTGTCAAAAACTCAGTCCTGCTGAACATCCTTCACAAGTGAGAGGCCCCAGGAATAGATCTGTTTGCCATAGGCCGGATCAGCACGTGTCAGTCATTTTAGTCCGGACCAGCCTTCCTGACAGGGTCTCTCATCCCTGGCTACTTTCAGTGATATTTATCTTTTCCTACTGTCCACCACATGCTGGGCTCTAAGAACATCAAAGCAGAGCTTAGGTATGATAACTCCATCAGTCACCAGATCTTTCCGCTAAGTAGTTCTGAGAAAACTTTACTCAGAAAAATAATTATGAGAAAATAAATCTTGTTCTGTGTTGGAGACAGCATGACAAGCACAACTCCCCGTGGACAGTGTTCCTTAAGGAAATAGATGTTTTTATTGATAACTACACACTCTTGTTTTAAACCACAGATGCTTTAAATGCTCAGCTCAGTCCATGCAGTTCCGGCATCAGTAGCAGTGTATAAGAACTATCAATAATCAAGCACATCCTTAAGTGAAGTGAGCTTTGTTTTAATACTAAAATTGAAGCAAAATTCATGCAGGACTTTGACAACAAAATTAAAATTTTTCTTGGTGAACAAGGGCCAGCTCTACAAATTGATAAAATCACCACAGCCAAACATCAGTTATAGCTGTATAAATTGTGCAGTGTTTGGTACTGTTCTACTTAGGCATACTTTTAGAAATCACTCATCTTCATATAAAATATAAAAACATCTTTGTAATCTGTGTCCAGTTTGTTCTTGTGCATCAGTGGTATTTATCCCTATCAAATAGTACTCAGCAGTTATGCAGAAATCAGTGTTTTATCACGGAGAAGGAAACCATTAAGGCTTAGACTTTGCCTTCAGCAATGCATATATCCATAGAACTTGTATGTACATAAAGAGGAATTGGTATTTAAAGTTTGCAAATTAAGCTTTTTAAGGGCTGGATATTATTTCTAATCTACTCTCTTATAAATCAAAAATTACTGAAGTAAAATCTGTACCGAATATATTAATTACAGGTATTTTTATTAATAGTAAAGGGGTACTAGTTATTAACTACAACTTTGTGGATGAGAAGAAAAAGTCCCCATCCATGCATTAGAAAGCAGTGGGGTAAACAAATAAACAAGCAATTACTGTTAATTCTCTTGTGTTTCTGGGGTCATGAAGGATGAGAAACAGAAGTGAGGATGAGTGGAAGCAGATCAGTTATGCTATGAAATGAATGGAAGTATGTAATAGTGAGGGCATGGAAAGATAAATTGGATTATTAACATGCATATTTTGGTTATCTGAAGAGCTGAAAGTAACATCAAGGATTTTTTTAAAAGCCTGCTGTTCCTCAGAGTTGTTTAACACTCATTTTTTACTGTGCCCATTATTCTTTCCTTAATTACTTTTTGCTTTTCTTTAAGAAGTTGGCTAAAGTAGTTAAAATGGTAAGCATTTGCCATTTCTGAAGCTAGAAAGGAGCATGATACTAGCCCTTAATGACATAAGCCAGTATTCTGGGATCAAACAGAGTGTATAAACATCCTAGGTATGATCAGTTGCGCATTCTAATGTTTTCTAAATTTATAATATGTGAATTGAGGATTGTACTGTCACAGGCTTGATGTGCTGAGGGAATACACAGCTTTTCACAGTAACCACAAAAAGACAGCATTAATTTATTCCACATTGTTCTGCATCAGGACTAAAATTCTGCAGTGTTTGTCTTTCATTAGCTGGCTGCCCCAGCATATTTGAGAGTCTCAGCCTCCCATGGTTGAATGTCTGATAGCTTGTCTCCAAAGCTTATCCTTCTGCATCTTGACCTGCTTGAATCTTGAAGGCACATGATCTGCACACTGCAGCAATCAGTCCAGCCCTGGAGTTCTGTCTTTCACCTTTCTCAGGTCTGTAACAAGGCTGTCTCTCTCAGTGCATCATTAATAAGCTTCATTTTCTGATTGTTCAGGGGGTGATTATTTTGCTTCTAACCTTTGCTTAGTCAAATTCTTCAGGTGATGCTGTTCTCCTATAAAACCATCTGCTTTATAGCCAAATACTTCTAAAGGACTAGATCTCCCCTGTATTTTCCTTTCAAACCATTAGAAAACTTTCTGCTGCTTTCGAGTGTCAGAAAATTTAGTTTGTTTGCTTGTTTGCTTATAAAGCAACTTGAGCTGAATTTTACCTGGTCCTTTGTAAATGTACCCTGAGTATTTCTGTGCACCAGCATTCCACTGACGTGCAGTCATGGGCAGCTCAGCCCACACAGGTGCAGGAAAATGCAAAGCAAGAGCAACTGCAAAAGAACCTACCACTTTTAGCCACCTGTTGCCATTCACACACAGTGAAAAGAAAATCACTGAAAACAAACAAGTGAAAAGTGGTGCCGACTGAAATATTTTTTAGGAGAAGCCAATAAAAGTAAATAGAGACTTACCCAAAAGGCAGATTTCATACACCCAGGCACTGTGAATTTCTGCTTCAGTCTTCAGTTTCTCTATCCAAACAACAATCAGAGAGAACAGGAAGAAAACATGTACAGCAAGCTCCAGAAACAAAAGGGTTCAGCATCACCTGGGAAAAGCTAATATGCTAATAATCATAATCTGCCAGGTCTGAAGTTTTTTTCATTTTTTTTTCTGGACTTTGTAGGTATTTTCCTTCATTAGTTTTGGAAGTCAAGTAAGAGAGCGCTTTCCTGCCGCCTTCCAGTGTGTTAAGGAGTATGATGTTGCCATTCTTCCTAGATGAAGTCTTTTATTCCTGCAACTGGATACTTATATTACTTCAATCCTATTTAAGAGATGACATCTCATTCTATATGAAATCATGTTTGTATTTTAATGACTATTGCTTCTGCAGAACCATCACAACACTATCTAGATCACGCTTTATAAATGTGAATTAAAATACCTGTGCACTGTAGTAACAGTGAAAAACAGAGTTCATTCTCTGCTTTGTCTGGGTGCCTCACCCACTTTGAGGATAAGCCATGTTCCACATGCAGTGGCACCTTGGCTAGCTCTGCGCTTTGCAGCTTAAGCGAGCAGGGCACTTACACTGGGGAACAAGGCTTGTGGCCAGGCCAACCCTGGCCCAGAGGTACTTGTGTTACCTGGGTTTTCCATCTTTTTTTTTTTTTTTTCAACCACATCTTTTCCCTGATAATGGAGAGATGATTACATATTAATTTTCAAAGTATTACATTTAAGGTAATTGATTCATAAAATATTACATTTCAGGCCACAGAATAGCAGGTTCAGGCACGAATCAACAATAGGTGTTACTCAGACTAATAGGCAGATTGACTTGCTATAGTCTTTTATTCTTAGATGTGGTTCCTTGCTGCTGTGTAATTCTATGGTTAGTTGAGCTCTTAAAGCAATGAAATTATAGCTGATTTTGTTATTTGATGCTGAACTATTTGGGGACACAGTATCCTGTGTGTTCCCATCTCCATCCCTTTTCTAATTTATGCTTGTCTTCTTTTTCCTGGGTTCTGCTGTTAATCTACCTCCTAAAAATGTAGTATTCGGGATGTGAGTTCATTTATACCAGAGACCTGCTTTTGATTTGTCCTCATGCAAATTAGAACAGCAATTAGATCAGGATTTCAGTTTTAGCATGCAGACTCCTACAACTGGAAACCTCAAAAAGGCATTATAAAACATGGGGATTATTTAGTTGTATTTGGAGATGCAGTAAGCATATTAATCTCAGCTGAAATTATTTGCTAGGACTGTTTTTTTGCATGAGCACTCACCCATGGCATAGATACTTTGGAAAAAATCAACAGTTTTAATCTAAAATCATAGATATTTAATACATAGGAAGCCAGCAACAGGAACGTCAGCGTTTTGCCAGTATCATTGACAAAATTCCCATTAGCTGACAGTTACACAAATACAGAATATGACTCTAGCTGAGGGAAAAAACATACAGATACAATTTCTCTATGTGCATAAGTAACCATGTTCACTATTAGGAGAATAGGATCTTGTGTAGCAGTTTGCACTTGTTCAGTTCTACTGCCAAAACCAGACCCTAAAACTATGTTGTTTGGCCCAGCCACTGTTCTTATGGCAGCGTTCCAGAAATACTGTAAGTCTTGGACAGAAAACTGCTTATGATGATTTCTTGAATAAGAGGGTCCGTGGACCTTACTCAGACTGTGCTTGCTCACACCCTCCCATTTATTTCACCGTAGGACACCCTCTGAGTGAGCCTTGTGCTGGTGCATTGAGGTAAGGCAGGGACCAGCTGGCAGTGAGGGGTCAGTGCTCCTGATCTGCCACAGCAGATCATGCCAAGCCAAACACTGAGGCATGGCAGAAAAAGAGAAAAAAACCTTGACAAGAAGCAGACATGGGGATAAGGACTGTGGCATTAGAATGAATGGAGAAAATCTTTCACAGAGTTTTAGGACCCCATGCTGAGACTGAATGCTGAGTTGTACACTGGATGCATTAAGTGCAGAAATAGTAGTGCCTAGTAAAACACACTCGATCCATTTTTACAAGTGATGTAATATGTCTGTGCGAAGTAACACGTTCTTGTGACTATCCACCTTCTAATCCAGGGCCATGCATTAGTGTCATAGCTGTGCTCCTGCTGCCCTCTGAGCCATGAGTCACCATCTTTCACTTCCTCAAATAATTACAGGCAGCAGAAAGGGCTGTCACTTGGTCTCTCGAGAGCTTTCTCTGCTGCTCAGGAAATTCACACAAAGCCGCTTTTTCTGTGAATGATCAGTGAGCACCTGAGATTTGCTTTAAACTTTGGGCAGAGATGGCCCTGCATCCTAAATTTTTGTTCCCAGGCATTGCCTCACCTGTCTGTCAGACCTTACTGCTCCTGTAGCTACACAGTGCTGGCCACCATTTGGTCCTTACTGAACCAGAAAACCCATAATATTGCAAAATTTCCTTCCTTGGGGAAAGAATGTGAAGCCTCATTGTTTGTATTTCTCAGAATATAGTGTGCACAAGTACATATGTCTAAACAAGTACTAATTGCCATTCATTTTTAGAAGGTGCATTTGGTCTTACGTTACCATTAAGTAGCTGTGCAGCCGAAATGCAGCTCAATTCTCCACTGCCCTGCACCTGGTTGGTGCTCTCCATCTGCAAAGTGCAAAGTACGTGATTAATGCAACTAACTTAAAATTTTCCAGTCACCGGAGGTGGCATTTTGTTCCCATTTAGAAGGCTACATACTTGTAAATGACTATGCCAGGTGCAGGGGGGAAACCTGACCCCCTTTAAAATTCATCTTTCCCCTGAATTAGGATTAATTTTTCAAAGAAGCCAGGATGTTTCTGCTTTCCTTGGTGCGTGTGTGAGTCTGTGTGCCAGGGGAGGGTGTGTGGCAAGGAGAGGCAGAGCAGGAGCAAGAACTGAAATGGTCCTTGACTCAGCCCTCTCTAATAGAGCACGTTACAAAGGAAGCGGGAAGACCTGGAAGGAACATTTTCCGTGTTACTTATTTGGAACAAGTGTACAATTTCTGCTTCACTGGGCACCTGAAATTTCCTCCCAAAACATGGGCAGGCAAAACTTTTCGTCCCACTGTCATCATGCTATGCAATTCCACTCCTTAATCCTGTGTTATTACAGCAGTGGGTAAAGCCTTCCCGGGTAGGTCTTGATCCTGCTCATGTATGTGTTTGGAAGGGGGTAGCCCAGGATAGACATCCTTTATTAAAAGCCCATGTTAGTTGGGCCCAGACTTGGGGTTTGCTACAGAGATGACTTGTTACTCGAGAAGGTTTATATTGTTGGCTAGGGGACACTCTCCCGTTTTGTATCAGCTGACAGAACCTATGTCTGATAAATGACTAATAACATTTCTGCAGAGGTGCTACCGGCGAGGGATTAGAACCATATGCGTGCTTCTCCCCCTGCCCTTGGGAAAGGGAGAGATTCGATGTTTGTAAACCGCTGCCGGAGCGCGCAGGGGCCGGTGCCGCTCGCTCTTCGCTGTACAGTCCGTCCTTTGCTACGCGCGTTCTCGCCCCCGGGCAGGGCCAGGTGCCCCGGACAGGTGCTCCCCGGCCACCCCGCCCGGCGGGGACAGGGGCAGAGCCTCTGGCTGCCTCGGCGCGGGTCCCTCCCTCCAGGCAGGTGCTGTGGAGGAGGAAGGGCACGGGCCCCGCGCCCAGGTGGGGCCGGGCGGGCGGGGGGCACGCACCGCCCCTCCTCGGCCCGCCGGGGCCGCGCAGCGCCGGCCACCCCCGTCGGTGGCCGCAGCCCCCCCAGGCGGGCTCAGCGGCAGGGGCTGCCTGTCCGCCGCCGCCAGCCCGGGGGGGGCGGCAGGGGAGTGCGGTTGTCTCCAGGGCCGCTCTCTCGCCCCCTCCTCCCTTCTCCTCCCGTCCCTCCCCTCCCTCCCTCCTGCGCCGCGGCCGCCGAGGGTGCGCGGCCACCCGCGCTCCGGGGCCGCCCCCGCATGGTCCCGCCCGCTGCCATGAGCAGGCCCCGGCTGCCCCGCGGCGCTGACCCGCCGGAGAGGATGCCCGCAGCGGGGCCCCCGGCGAGGGATGCCGCCGCCGCGCCCAGCCTGCCCAGCTCCTGCACAAGTAAGAGCCGCCCCGCGTTCCGTCGCGCCGGAGGGCGGGCGGCAGGCGCGGGTCGCTCTCCCTCCCCGGCGGCGGTGGCCCCCTTCCCTTCCCGCGCCCAGACTGACAGCCGGGCGGAGGGTCGGCCCGGCATCGGCCCCCGGCCCCGGCCGAGCGGTGCCCGCGGGGCTGAGATCTCCTGGCCGTGCGGGTGCGGGCGGGGCGTCCACTCTGATGGGGCACGAAGTGCCCAAAGACCGGCCCCGGCCCCGCTCCCCAGCAGAAGTTTTCTGCCCGAAAAGCCGCCCGTGTCGGTTTGCCGAGGGTTCACCCTGGCACCGCGTCTCTCTCCCCGGCCCGGGAGCTGGGCCGGGGAGGTCTCCTCCGCCTGCCCCGGGGCGGTGTGAGCCGCCGGCCCGCACGGCCCAGCCCCGCTCTGCTGCTGCGGGTCCCCCCGGCAGGCCTGGGGCGAGGGACTCGTGCTGTGCCAGGAGCGATCGCATCCCTGCAAAACTGTCACGGGAAAAGTAACCTGTATGTGCGTGGAGGACTTATTAATGGGCACAACGATGCGAGTGGCATTTTGCTGTTTCGTTTTCCATCCAGAAAGAGGGGGGAAAGCACTTCTGGTACACAGATGCAGTGGTGCCAGCGATACTTTTCTGGCTAAACGAGAAGCTTGAAGACAAGCCGAATGCTCTGTAGTTAGTACGTGAAGCATGAGTAACGCCTAAGTTGATCTGTGCTGATTCAAGGTGGTTGTGTGCACGGTATCTGACTTTTCCCAGGTCATACTGTATTAAAAGAGGTAAGGGCTTTTAACAGAGCGCTTGATCTACTAATGAGCGCCCAGCCTAAGAGCTGTTAGAATTGCCTTCTATTACTTTAAGATTTGCTGCTTGTGTTGACGGGCAGGACGCTGGGTGCTGCGCAGTGGTGAAGCGCTTTCGATATTATGTCCCAGACCACCAACTGGACTGAGCCCGTGTCCGGCCGTCAAGCAAGGCGCGAGTATGACAAAGCACTGTGGAGCTGCCGCGGCCTCGCCGCTGGGCTTGCTCTGCTTCCCTGCAAAACCCCTTCACGGAAGGCGCTGGCTTAGGCATCTCCGTCATCAGTTTGTTAACAAAACCAAACAATGTAACTAACAGCAAATTATTTCCATTCTCTCACTTACATTTGCAAAATACATAGGTACCTCTGTATAAATACATACGTGCGTGTATGCTTTTGCATTACAGCAAACTTGAAGTCATGAACGTTTTTTTAAGCTGAGAATCACATCAACTTTTATAAATATGTGTGTAGCTGGGCTTTTAGAGTTGCTGCAGAGTGAGGCCCATAAATTTGATGCTTGGTTTTATTTTAGTCTGTTTGCTTTTAAATCTTGGTTTATAACTTAATCGTGAAAACATTCAAGGTTCTCATTACCTACATTTTTATTTCTAATTGGAAGTACAGACTTGGGGGTTTGTACTGAAACTGAAACACTAATGGTCTCTTCCTAAGTCCGCTGGGTAGCTTCGGCGGCACATATGAATTATTGTGCAACTATTGTGCAAGGTGATTTACACTTACTCAAAATCAGTCTTAAATTTTAAACTACAGTCTCTGAAGACAGCCTTTATTTTTTCATGTTTCTCAAGACTTTATGTGGATGTGTATTGCGAGTCAGATAGGTAGAGCTGTTGAGAGCGCTTCACGATCGTATTTCTGGCGTGGCGCGTGTTACGTACGAGGGCATCACGTTTTTGCCGGTCACGCTTCCTAGCAAATTATAGGTAGGAAAACTTGAAATGGTTTCCTTTTGAGCCTATCTTTAATGGAAATATTTGAGAGAGGTGCCATGTTCTGACCGTTCTTTGTCATGGTAATGTGACGCCGGATGGCAAACATTGAACATCTCCATCTAAGGTCCTGCAACTCGATCGTATGGTTTTGTAACCGCGTGGTGGAAATTTGGTGTGAGTCTCCGTGCTTACCTGATAATTAGTAAATGCATTGCCTCGGAAATGCAGGCAATTTGTGTTTTGTTTTGCTGATAAGAACTTGGTACTTTATAATCTGAATTGGATATCAGTGATTTTTAGGAAGAGATATGTTGGGGAATGTCCAAAATTCTCTTTGGAATTAACTTCTAATATGCCGGAACAGGTATTATGACTGGTAAAATAGGATGATAAGGAAAGCAGTGATTCTTCTACAAAATGAAGCCATGGTTTCATTACTAGGAAAGAAAACATTGACCTCACTTCCTGAGCATTTTGATTTTCTTGCCTTTTTTTTTAATAACAATTGCTATCCTTTTGTTTTGCAAGCTGCAGTAAACAAGTGTGCAGCTGCAGAATGCTAATTCAGAATCATGTAGATGAGAATATTCCATGGTGTTTAACAGAGCACCTCTCTGTTTCAACATTTTCATTATAATATTGTATAAAATATACCTTTTTCATTATACCATTTAAACTTTAAGAGCTCTCTGGAACCTTTCTTCCCCCCCCCCCCAGTAGTTTTGTTAGAAAGTTTAACAGATTTTAGGTGAAGAGCAATGTAATTCTAAAAAATGGCTTCCTAGATGGACAGCTGGTAAACATTCACTGTGAGTGCTGAGTTTGAATAAGGATTCAAATTTAGCAAAACTGAAGATGTGAGATGTTTTTGGTAGCTGCTACATTGGCTAAACTCATGAAACACGGTAGCATGTACAATATCCATTAAATGTTTCTTTGCTTTAACATTTATAATGTAATTTTAAAAGTATTACTAAATCCTTAATTAGAAATTCCTTGCTGATAGTACCCAAAAATAAGATATAAATTGAAATATGCTGTGTACATTTTGTACTTTCCCCTCGAGTGACAGTGTCAATTCAGTTGATAATAAAGGTCCAACGATAAGATTTACACAGCAGTTAAAGCATTCTATCTATGCAGGTCTTTGTGATGTGTGATGGGAACATACTTCTTATTTTCTAAAACTGAAAGCTTTATTGCAGTCAAAGCCTGCAAGTTGTGGAGCTGAGAATTAGAAATTGCTGGAGAAGGGAGACCTGAATTTACATGTTACAGAGGATGACTTACAAAAACCTACCCTTGCACTTGAAATAAAGCAGAAGACTAAGAAGAACAGTTGTGGTGGTGTTGGCCAGTGTTCATCACTGCTTTCTACTGCAGTTGTGTGGAAGGAGTGGAAATGCAGGGTAGGGGCTGTAGTGCCAGCAAGTGAAACATGTATGGGAAATCTCTGAAAAAAACAATATGTGGTTGGAACTGCTGATTTGGAGGTTTTTTTCCCTCCTTTGGTAAGTCTACTCTTATGAGAAAATTGTTGTTTATGATTTGGAGGTTTTGTTTATAATTTTTGCAACTGAATTGCAAAATGTATTTTTTAGATGACAGGTTAGTGGGTGACAAATTTTAGCACCTGCTGTTAGATTGGTTGGAGTGTCTAAGCAGCATGAGAGAGTGGAGACTCCTATTAATAATTCCAGGTGTGTGATTCATTGCAATCTGAATGAGCAACTTGCTGGAACTGAAAGAAAGGACTGAGTGGCTGCTGTGGGTTAACTATAAAG